GCCAGAGCTGGGCAGGACAGACCAGGAGGGCGAGATGGTCTGACAGGGGAGAGACTCGGGCCGGGAGACTCGGGCCCTGGCAGGGGCTGAGAAGACAGAGCCGCTGGGCCCCTCTCCGGGGACCCGCGCCCCAACAACACTGACCCGGCAGCCCCAGCCTCCCCGAGGGTCCTCCCTGGGCAGAGGTCCCGGAGGCCAGTGGCGGGCGGCCTGGCGGGAGGCTGGGGCAGCTCCGGGGAAGGGTCCAGGCCCGGCGGCCCACAGAGGCTCCGAGGCCGCGTCCCTCCCTTCCCCCAGAGGCAGCCGGGCAGCCCTGGGAGGAAGTGATAAGGCTTCTGAGGTTTCCCTTCGCACGATGGCTGCTGTCAGGACGGGTGTGAGCTTGAGCAGGGCGGAAAATCGGGGCTGAGGGCTCCCGCTGGGGCGCCACTCCACACCCTCACGGGGCTCCCTGCAGCTTCGGGGGGGGCACCCGCATCTGGGGGAGCCAGCTGGACCCAGCCGGGGCTCAGGGCCTCAGGCCCGGCGTCCCAGCAGCCCGAGAAGCTGAGCAGCATGAGGATGGGGCCGGAGCCCCCGGCCAGGGCTGGAAGGGACAGCTTGATCTGGGGCGTGGTGCCCACCCAGAAGGAAATACACCGCTCCCTCTTGGCTTCACAGCCCCCCGCTCACCCGCCCCCCTGAGGGGCCCCGGTTCCCCCGAGTGAAGAATTGGGAGGTGGGGAGCATCACCTACGACACCCTGAGCGCTCAGTCCCAGCAGGTAAGGTCAGGGTCTCCCTCCGCAGGCGACCTGGGTCAGGCGAGTCTCGCTGCCTGAGCGGCCCCTCACCTCTGAGAAAGGGGGAGCAGGGAAGGGGCAGAACTTCTCGGGGGCACACAGGGGACCGTGGTGAGCAGCCTCCAGTCCTTGCCCTAAGTCCAGCCCAGCCTCGCGCAGTTTCCAGCCTCAGCCTAGCCCTCAGCACTCCCAAGCCCGCCCACCCTCCGCTCACGGGGCCCCGCACTGACAGGGTCCCCGAGTCCACGTGCCTTGCTCTCATCGCCACCCCAACCTTGACACAGGATGGGCCCTGCACCCCAAAACGCTGCCTGGGATCCCTGGTGTTTCCTCGGAAACCGCAGAGCCGGCACCCCCAGGACCCTCCGGCAACCGAGCAGCTGCTGAGCCAGGCCCGGGGCTTCATCACCCAGTATTACAGCGCCATCAAGAGGTGGGACCCACAGCCCCACGGTCAAGGGTGGGACCCCAGCCCCACGGTCAAGGGTGGGACCCC